CCCGTAAACTGCGCGTTCGTCCCGGTGGCTGCGCCCCCACCTTGACAGTGACGGTCCTGCCCATCACCTCCAGCCGCGACGCCAGCTCCAAGGCCGCGCTCGTCGCCGCCTCTGCCGCCGCCAGGGAGCAGTCCCCCAGGTCAGAGGACCAGCCGCCCTTGCCGCAGGCGCGCTGCCCGCGGGGCGCGTCCGGGTGTGCGGCGCGCTTGGGGCCGCGCTCGGCGCGGCTGTGGTCCCGGATTTGGGTCCTGTGGAGAGTTTGCGACGATCCCAGGGCATGGATAGACAATACTGGGGTACCAGGTCAGGTAGTCCCAAGTCGAAATTGCGGCGTGCCCTGCTGCTGTGCTGACAGCAGCCCGCACTATGCTGTAGTGGGCAGCAAGAGAGCACCTGTCCTAGTGGGTCAGGCAGCCCTGGTGGCGCGGATACAGCCGCGTCGGCTGCGCGGGGGGCCATCCACACCGACTGACCGCCACCGCGTGCCCCACCCACAAGCCCTGCCAACTGCCCTGCTCAGGAAACCAACCACGACACGTGCACTTGACACACACAACGCCCTTGACACACCTCCCCCATGAAAGTGCACCCCCAGCCCCCGGCACCTGATCCTCCTGTCCACCTCCAGCTCGTTGTACGTCGGCGCGGGCAGCTGCCTCACGCGGTCGCTGCGCCGCTTGTCCTCGTCAGCAACCGCCCTGCGTGGCGCCGCCGGCTTGGGGGCGCGCTTCTTGGAGTTTGCTGTCTGGGCCTGCGGCCTTCGCAATGACAGTGTGTTTTGAGCGGCGGGGCAGCCAGACGTGTGGGTGGTTGAGAGGTGTCGCCACCACGCGCTGTGAGCTGACGCTGGCAGCAGCAGCAGCTGCAGCTGCTGCTGCTGCTGCTGCTGCCCATGCTGCTAGTGCTGCGACCAGACACGGCGATGGTGACCCTGCAGCTTCATGAGCCGGGCACAAATAACAAGCCTGCATTCACACACCGTTGTACACACGACCCGCCAAATGCAGCTGCACCCTGGCCCCAGGCCGCACCCACATCAGCAGGGCGTACTGGTCCATGGACCCCAAGGCCTCCGCCATCCGCTTGCGGTTCTGCTCTATCCGCTTCTGCCGGTCCTTCTCCAGCTCTGTCAGCGCCGTCATGGCTGGCATGCTTCCCCGGTATGGCCGCGTCTGGTCACCGCGCACGGTCGCTCGCTTGCGCTGCAGTGCCTGCGCTCGGTGGCAGGCACCCCGCGCAGTACAACCGATCCGGGTTGCTAGCGTGAGCTACACTCAAGCATCCAGTTCAACTAGTGTATGCTGATATAAATGCGTGGAGCTGTCACCGCTGCAGCAGATCAATCCCTGGTGCGTGGGTCGGGTGTAAATTGTATAGGATGCCCACGGAATCAGAGACCAAGAGTGCTTGTATCGAGGGCACACGGTCGAGGTTGCGAGCGTTGCCAGTTGAGATTATGGAGGGAAGTGACACGCTTGAGTTTTTTGAAACTAACTTCCACTCAGGCACCTCGGCAGCGCCGCGAAAGGCATGCTTTATATGTGATCTACCTATACATTATGAAATTACTGTCGCATTGGTAGATCCTGCCTCTATCCCTACCTGCTGACGGCGAGCTGCAGGCTTGCCAAAGGACGCAGTCTGATTATACCCACAGTTCACGCTGTTCCGGTGCATTTCTGGAGACTTTTGGCGGTCATCTAGAGGCCGTTTACAGGCCGTTCCGATTCGTTGCACACCGACGCGCTCGGCGCCCCAGATCTCGCGCCAGCAGCAGGTCGAGCTATCACCGCCACGCCACACTGAGTGATAATTGCATGAGTGCTTGAAGGGGCTGCAGCGCTGCCATAGTCAACTTCACAGGTTGCTGAGACCTGTTGACTTGTCGAACAGCATGGCGCTTACGCAGCTGGAGCGGGACAGGGAGAGGCTCATCGAGGTGACCATTGGCACTGGGCATCAGGGCTGGGAACAGCGTCGCGACCCTTGCCTGCCTCGTGCTTGCTGAGACGCCCGTGCCATGCTCGTGCTATCCATCCACGCGCACCTTACTAAACCCGCAAGCGATTCAGGCCCCTCATACTGAAGCCACGATGAACCCCTCCCTCCCACTCCTGGCCCCCAACAGGAGAATCGCCGGCGTATGGCGGATGCGCTGGGGCCGATGGACCAATACAATCTGCTGATGTGAGTTCGACAGAGGAAGCGGGGAGCAAGACGGGACAGGCCTGCAGAGCGGACGGTGGGAGCAACGGGCCGTGGCGGTACACGGGGCGCAAAGCAGCAGCATGCACGCTCTGGCGCATCAGCAAACTGCGGCCCGCGGCGCTCTCGCAGCGCCGGCCACCTCGCCTGCGGCTCTCAGACCGCACCTCCCCCTCTGCCCACCCCCTCCCTGCAGGGCCCAGCCAAAGGTGCCGAAGCCCGCCCGTCGCAGGCCGGCCCGCAAGGCGGTCGCCCCCGCGGACAAGCGGCGCAGCGACCGAGTGAGGCAGCTGCCCGCGCCAGACTATGGCGACATTGACCAGGCAGACCGCACCCTGGCGCTGCTGAGGTGGGCACGCCGCCTCGCGATGCTGGATGAGGAGTACAGGGGACAGGGTGCAGCCTCGGCAAAGCCGTCCGCAACCCCCCCTGGATAGAGCATGCCTGCCTCGGACCTGCCTTGCTTCTCCCTCACGTGCTCTGGCACCCACACGAAAAGCAAATTTTCTAGCTTTCAGCCAAAGTTATACTCAGACACGCCCAAATTGCACGGCTCTACCTTCCAGGAGCGAGTCAGCCAAGGGGCGCACCCCCAAGCGGTGCGCCGCCGCCCACACGCCCCGCGCCCGCAACTCTGCCGCCGTCTCGGGCCTCCGCCCCGATGGAGCGGTGGGGGACGCCAGCGGTGGCGCCGACTACAGCGGCTGGTCGTCTGACCTGGGGGACTGCTCCCCAGCGGCTGCGGAGGCAGCGTTCGATGCAGCCTGCAGCCTGGCGGCTGATTTGGTGGCCAAGGGCAGGGCCGCAACAGCCAAGGTGCGTGGCCAAGGCGGCCTGAGGGTATTGGATGCGACAGATGGGGGCCGGTGCGATGGCGGCGCTGTTGCGCATGGCTGCTGCCCCTGCAGGCAGGGGGCGCCGCAGGGCCTGTGGGGGCCCCTGACCTGGTTGGTTACAGGTCCCCAGATGGGACAAGCGAGACGTCCTAGGGATTTGGCGTTCACGCATCACTCTCATTACCTGTCACAACCCTAAGGCCACTTCAAGGCTTGGCACCGCAACCCTGCATCACATCTCTTCACCGGGGCCCGCAGCCTTCCGAACTGCCACCCCTCCTCCTGCCACATACTCTGTTCACGCCCGCTCTCCTGCCTGGCAGCGCATGAGCTACTCCCAGGTGGCCTCAGGCTTCTGGATGCAGCTGCCGCGCGACTTGGTGATACACTTCCCCCACAGGGAGAGGGTCGACGTGAGCGGGGCTGCACGGCACAGCGACACGGGTGCTCGGGGCCCCCCTGCCTGGTACCGCACTCCCAGTGCTAGGACCCCGTTGTGCTGTCGGTGCTGCAGCCAGAGCCTGGTGCGGCACTCACACGCGCGTGATGTTGCTCCCAGCACAGCACCTCGGACCCTCACCCCCTAACCCGTCCCTCCCAGGCGGAGCTGGTGTCGTCTGACGCTCCCGTGATGGCTGACGGCACGACCCCGCCCTTCTGGTGCGTGACCCTGCTTGATCGGGCCCTCACCGGGGCAGCAGCAGCAGCAGCAGCAGCAGCAGCAGCAGCAGCAGCAGCGCCCCGCACTCTCACATCACCCTGACCCAAGCGCCAATGTCAGCACCATCCCCGATGTCCCGCCCGAAACCTCTCATCGGCAGGTACGATGAGGCGCCAAGCGGCCGCCCAGGGGTGTGGCGCGTGGTGTTTCTGCCCAGGGATGTCCACGGGGAGAGTGCGGGGCTCAGTGGCGGCTGGGGGTACTTTGCAAAGGACCAGGTGGGCGGCGTGACCTGGCGGGGTGGTGTGGTGGTGTGGTGGTGTGCCAGGGATGGTGGGTGGGGGTGGCGCTGTGCGCATAGGATGAGGGTTGCATGAGAGGGGTGGGGACGCATATGAGAGTGAGGTCCCTTTCTTTTCTGTGTTGCGGCGAGTGAGGTGCTGTTTGCATTGCGATGTTGAGCGTGGGCGCAGCGCAGATTGCCGCGCCTTTCCACACAACACTCACGACCCCACAAATTCCGGCCTTGGCATCCCGCCCACTTGCCCTTCACATCCTGCACACATCTCCCCCACCCTCATCTGGAA